GCCCCTGAGCAAGGCCCTTAACCCCAACTGCTCCAGGGGCGCTGTACAATGGCTGACCCTGCGCTCTGACCCCAAGCTTCTCTCTCCCTGTCTGTGTGTCTCATGGAGAGCAAGCTGGGGTATGCGAAAAGACAAATTCCTAATGCAAGAAATTGTATGGGGCTAATATAGTGATGTGATGTTATGTTATGATGCTTGTCATTAATGTCTTTTATTCCTCAAACCGCATCCATAAAGCTAAACCTCTTCATGCCCAAATGGCTGACATATCAGCAGAACATCACTGAATTATTTCAGCATAAAGAAAGAAAAATATTTAGTAACTTATTTCCCTAACGCTTTTATCCAAAGTGACTTCATTTGCACTCATTGTTTACAGCTGGGTGTTTTACTGAACCAGTGTTAACTGAAAAAGCAGTGTTAAATAGTGACAGACACTTCCCTGGGTCAGTGCTTCCTGATCCTAACCACATGTTGCACAAACAGTTGAATACTACAGGCACAGTCAGCCTTGGGAGACGATTTGTATTACAGGCACAGTGGTGATGCGCTCTTTCCTTGAAATTGTGTGAGAAAACAAATTTCAGTCAAATAAATTGCACATCTCCTGAAACATGTTAAAGGTGGGGCACATCACTGGTCTGATTCTAGCTTTATAAGTTTGTTTTGTTAAAAAATGTAAACCACCATGCATATGCTTTTAGTACTAAAAACAATACATAGACTAATTTATTATGCATTCAATAGAGCTCATGTTTCTGTAACGGCCAGTGGACACAGATATGAACCTTATAACAAGGGGCACTGAATTTACAATTTTATCCAGTGCTGTAGTCATAGCAATAACCTTTCATTGCATTGCTTTCAGATTTGTGACATCAAGATTCAGAGTAAGACCAATTACAAGATACATCTGACCACTCCTCAACATTTACAGGTAAAGGCGATGGGTCTGGTGAGAGAGTGTAACACTGGTCCAGTGCCAGTTTTTATTAAACGCCACTTTATGTAGCTTGGGCTTTAATCTTTAAATTCAAATGTGACATCTGTAATTAACAAATATGTGAAGATTTCCCTCATTGTTGCATTTTCTCAAATGCTCAGTTCTCAAAATATCAGGATGTATACTTGCATGACTTCTTGAAATTGGGCTGGTTTTTAATTGGTTTTATCGCCAGAATATGTTTTGTTGCCTTTTTAGACTTTTTTTAAAGTTGCAAGACTATACTGAGTTTAATCTCTTAATAAACTCACATCTTTATTATAAGGGTTCATTGTGTGGTAAATTAATTCCAACCAGAATCTTACTTTTTGATGAATAAATCTCTTGATCAGTTATAAAAACAAAAGATCTACAACAGCCGTGCTTCATACTTTCTTCATTACTTTTCTCCCTTGTCTTTTTTCCTCCCTTGACACATTGTAATTCAGGAATAAGAGAATGGGGTTACCTCAGCTTGAAGACTGGCCTGAATTTGGGGCACCAGCGCAGTCTAGCAGTTTCTCATGTGAGCAAAGGAGAACACTTTAGTTATTTTGTGTGTCTTGACTTCAAGAGAATCTCCAGAGATCGAGTTGTCATAGCTAGAGACAAAAGGATAGTTTGCATCTTGGTCTTCCAGCATATTTTTAACTCTCAGTCATAAATATCCTCAAGTGGTAAAAAAAAAGTTTCTGCTTGAGCTGGAATCTCCTGCATCGGCCATTCTCATTTAAATCTGGACTGTTTTTGTCATATATCCTTCCAATGAGACTAAAGCCGAGGTCCCGACTCTACTTCGTCATTAAATATCCCAGGTTTCTTGACGTCCTTGACCAGCACCTTCAAAAGCTTGCAGGTCAAATGATTATGAAATTTGTTTTTGAGTTAAAGCCAAGGAAATCTCTTTTGTTCCTTGAGCAAGCATTGTGCCCACCCAGAGAAAATCACCTTGTGAAGAAATGGGACTTTCTTGAGTTTTTTCTCAATCTTCCTATGTTGGAAGGTTCTCTGTCCTTTTGTTCCTAAGCGTTTTTTTGAGTACTTTCCACATCATAATTCATTGCTGAAGAAATGCGTGGCCTGTCTTGGCTGGGGTCCATCTTTCTTTACCGCTGGTATGGTTATTTCTTTTCAGTCACATGATGTCGATGCTGTTGTATCATTCGCCGAGATGGAATTTTCTGACGATTGTATGATATCATCTTAGATGGAAATCCAAGTTTTGGGGGTAAAAATTGGACCTCTGCTATTTACGTCTCAAAATTCATTGCAGCCTGCTGCCGCAGCCCGTGCATAAGAGAGATGAAGTGCTCCAAAAACATTAATTTATGTAATCCTCGGACCAGTCCTTTTGCTTCGGAAATTCTGGATTTTCTAATGAGTGCCTACATCTGAAACAGTCCCCTTTAGGGTTCAGACTTCCACTTCAAATCACTGATGGAATTTATATCCAAGTTTTGGGTTTGAGTCCCATCATGTGAAATTCATTCTCCTATCGAGCATTGGACTGTAAAGCCCAGCTTGTGTTCTAAACAGGTGTCTTCTGATTGTGTTACTGTGGAATCCCCTGGGAATCTGTGCCACTTAACTTTGAAGTTGGTTCTCAAATATAATTCCTTTTACACTCCCACAGGTTTCCTTAGGGGGCGACGACTGTGATTCCACAGGTTCCTCTTAATGTTAAGCTGACCAGAGACACCTTTTTTGCTAATCATTTAGTCACTGTGCATGTCTGGAAATAGGTTCTGACTCAATATTACGTTCTTTAGGAACATTTTGGAAATAAGGCGCACTCTGCAAATGTTTATCGTGAGTCCTTGAAGAGACAAGGCTGTACGCATCCTTCAAAAATCAATTTCGTTGAAGAGCAGTACTGGCTGACTCCTTGAATGTTTCACATTTCTGGCATTTCTCTTTCCTTCTGTCTGGAAGGTCCAGCCAGTTTCTAAACACTTCACAGTTCTTTCTTTAACATCTCTCACCATAGTGAAATACTGACTGTTTGGCTAAGGAATGTTGCTTTGCAGTTTCTTATAACTTCTCGGTGGCTTTTCAAGATCTGGCAGGCAACTCGGTCTTGGGTTTGCTCATTTTGGATAAGAAAGATTTTCTTTTAATTTGGTCTCAGGGCCACAAGTTTGCTGGACGCATTTCCATGACTTTAAAAGATGATAAAAATGACTTCAGCAGGATCTGCATTTTTATCCCACTCTGAAAAAATCCAGGAATGATAAGAGGAATGGTTTTTGGGCATTTTGGGATTTTTTTTCGGAAAGCCTCTATGTTTTGTGAATTCACCTTTCCCGTTTGTCTTTGCTCACATTTTGGAGCTCTCTAACTCAACCATGAAGTTTCAGTTTTAAGAAGTGAAGTGGAAGATTTATTGAGAGCACCAGTGTGTATTTCAGAAGTCGAACCCTTTTCTTAATAGACAATGTGGTGTGAGTTCAAGCCCTGTCACACCATTCACTGCTGGTGCTATGAATTTCATTACTCCTTGGAGATAAATGTCATGTTTTTGTGCACAATATTCTTTGTCAAAGCTTTGTCCTCAGTCTATTAAGTATGAAATGCCTGGGATTGCAAATCTTTTCAGCAAAGTAAGAATGGGATTAATTTGGGCATCCGAGTCGATAAAAGGAGGATCTATGGACAGATCATAGATATACCAAACAGGCGTGATGTTGAAAAGTCCGTTCGCAATGATTTTCATGGACATCCCAAAGCAGCGTATTTCTTGATCTAGGTATTAATATTATTAATAAAGTATAAAGCAATCCCACATCCACTAGTGCACCTCCTAAATGTAATGCACTGCACAGCTTTCTGTTGAGAGCAGTGGGTTCTGTGACTTTCATTCATCTATTGTGCCAATCTGTTTCTGTATGTACTGACTGGCTGTACTTGTTTTCCTGGATTGCACGACACAGAAAGAAGATGCCCTTGTAGCTTGTGGTAAGTAGAGCTTTTTTATCATCTTAGCTTCTCATATTATTTACTCCTATGTTCTGATTTTTTCCTATATCTATTCATCTAACCAAAATTACCTTTTCTGGTGATTAAATGTAGTTTCCTTTCCAGTAAACTGCGGAATGCAAGAGGACCACCTGACACTTCACAGTTGCGCAACAGTGTGTTTTATTAAGTTATTCTGCTGATGTAGAAAAATCTCCAGATTTGCTGCCAACCAAAACTATGTATTGGTCCCAGCTGTGCTCAGGGTGGCCCTATTTATACATTTCATTTTTTTAAAGACTTCGCTCTTGACGTTTTTGCTGGTAGAAGGCAGAGTCACTCTAAAGGGACTTCAGAACCTCTCCCAGTGGATCTTATGAACTGGGAAGTGTGCATCAAAATATCAAGAGCATTTCTGAGTGTTAAACTTGCAGCCTTGCAGTGAAAGCTCACTGTTGTAAGAGATTCAGTTCCTGGACTGTTTCCAATTGAACTTTTGACAGTCCAAAGTTGGAGGATCCTATTAAAGAAAACGTTTTAAATGGAAGTGAGAAGAGTTTCCGTTAATGACAATATTCATCTTCAAATAAGTGTTTGGAGAGCTGCTCATGAGGAGGCTTGTTGATTTTGGAGTCCTGGGTACTATTGACAAAATGTGCAGTGAACTGTCTGTGCTGCCTCCTCTTACAATAAGCATCATGTGAACAAGCTCTAAGGTCTTGGCCTGTGGGAGTGCAGACTGTTTCTTTGCACCAGGCAGCCCTGGGATGAGGTATTCTGGGATCTCCAGCCAGGACATCCGACTCCTCTCAGAAGGGAACGTGTCCTGGGATTTGTTAGTCCATGTTGTGTTGTCCACTGGGGATGGAAAACGGGACCCTTACTTCCCTCTGTGGACAGATCTCCATGGGTGCAGACAGGGACAAGAGGAGAATCACCCCCCTTGGTTCATCTTGATATAATTCTTTCACAGGCCACACCTTCCACCTACATTCTGTCATAGACCGTAACAGACAGGCCTCCGTGTCTTGCTGTGGTTTACAGGTGGTTCTGTGACAATTCTTGGTTTAAAACACCTAGTGTTCTTGCAAAACTGCCTGTCCAGTTTCTTCCTGTCTTTAATAATGCTCAGCATTTTCACATTGGACAGCTAACCACCCAATACCATGGAATATTAAAGATCTGTTTACTGTTAGCCAGATATGTGTCCTATTCAAAAGTCCATCAAAACTCTGCTTTGTGGCATGGCTGCCCTAGGACTGAGGTTTCATCTGCTTACCTGTTGTTATATCCTTTGTCACGTCTTTATATGGATTCAGATCAAAAATAGGAAAACCACATCTTTTGGGCGAGTTTGGAAATTTGATTCCAAGTTACATATTTTTTTGGTTTTATCTACCTTGCACCGGCTCCTGTGGATTGTAAAATAAAATTACAAAATACTGCTGCTCACCTTTAAGTTCTTGAACAGTTTGGCTCCTGATTACAACAGTGATGTGTTATTTCCCTACAAGTCTCTCAATATCTTCGCTCTGCGACCCTGTTTCAATTATAGAAACAAGGTTCAATGAGACTGCTCCAGGACTGTGGAATGACCTCCCTATTAGATACTGATGTCAGTCAGTCCTTCTAAATCCTAGACTCACTTGCATGACTCTAGTTTTAATTCTGTTTAACTGTCTTTTGTTTTATGGTAAACCATGTTGTAATGCATCCATTAATGTAAGACTATTATCTAACAGATTAGTATCATTTAGTTTGTGTTTGGTTCTTGGAAGCATTTTTCTTTCTGGTAAATAACATTTTAATAGGTTTGGTCCAAGAAATACCTGATGGTGTTAAGTATTTTAAAGGAGAAATCTTTCCACACAGTTTTTTCTGGCTTAATGGCTAACGTTGTTTTAAAAAAGATCAAATTATGCAGAAATAATTCAAATAACAGCATAATAACTGTTACATACAATGCTGTACCTACAGTATAATGTCTTTAACAAATACATTTTTAAATCCTACATGTTGCTACACTATATTTTGAGTTGCCTATTGCTATGCAGATGGAAAAATGTTTTCTTCACCTAAAGTCTTCTTCCTTATTTTGTTTAGAGTGGATTTCCCTTTATTCCCAGTAAATCCATGTTGTGGGTAGTTTAACAACAGGTTTCACAAGCCTTACAAATTAAAGCAGGGGTTGTGTGACTGAATCAAAGCTGAGCATTAAACTGCTGCAGGAGGATATGTCAGCAGTTATAAGTTTTTTAAATTAATTTTTAAAATAATATTGTTCAGATCTGATATACTTTCACATTAGCTTTTTATATAGCCTTTTACACATCACTTTGTTCTTGATAAAACTGCAGAATGATTTCAGTCCTCTTATCCCTGTGGACCAATTTCACAGGCAAGATCCGAAGACCATATGCTGTGCGAAAATGGAATGACTTGATGGAATACCTTGATTATCTCCACCTTGATGAGCCTATAATTGGTAAAAATATTGTTTTTTTATTATTTACAAAGCAGACTTTAATATGAAAATGAAATACCTGTATGAAGTGGGCTTGGGTTACTTCAATACTGTCTTTTCATGGCCCATTTTATTGAAGGCTTCTTGGTCAAATTATTATACTTTAAAACAGATGAAACACAGTATAATATGAAGATATGGGTTTTGATTTGTAAGAATTTTTACAGGATCCAACACAAAGTGCCCTCCTTAACCAGAAATGCTGGCAACCTTGAAATGAATAATTCTTTGGAAAGTGTGTAGGAAAAAGATAATGTTTTGGTGTTTTGGGTAGTACAAGTGCTGCTGTACCCCTCTAGGTTTACACCATGTTGTTGAGGTTGACCCCAAGCAGCCTGGTGATCCCCTGAGGTATTTGTGCAGGCTGTGCTTCTTCGAGGAAGAGCTGCCAGGTCTTACTTTGCACCTGGTTAGTCGGAAACACAGACAGAGATACTTGGTAAGAAACCTTTTACTTCTTCGGTGGTTGAAAACGTTCCACACCTCGCTATACCTGTGGAAGTGTTACCGCTATGAAATAGCGCTCCTGTCTAGCGGAATAAATCTTCAGCCTCGTTAGCTTAAAGGCCTGTGTAATAATGTGCTAAGAAAACCGTAGTGTGAAGAGAAGTATAATCTTCTGTTGTAGCTTTCATACTTGAAAAAAGGCATGTTGCTCCTAATTTCAGGTCTTTGACGTTGGGGTTTCCAATGCAAGTACTGGCATCTTCACTATCCAGCAGTGTTATTCGTGTATTGAATGTTTTTGACAATGACATTTCTTTTTAAGTTCACTGACCCACCATCCTAGTGAGTGGTGGTCAAGACATCCAGTTGGTTTACTGAGACTTTCAATGATCCAGCTCTGAGGAGCCCCCATCCTTCTCTCTTTCAGAAAGCCTCTTATTTTAAAGGTCTTGGCATCCAGGCAGGGCGCGACTGGACAGGACAGACAGGGTGAATAGCAGTGTACTAGCACAGGGGGGCAGCTGGACTGGGTGGACAGGATGTGACTGGACAGGGTGGATAGGACAGTTCTGGACTAGGACAGGGGGCAACTGAACAGGAAGGACAGATCTGATCTCCGAACTAGTTGCTCCTTTGTTTACTTGCAGTCCTCACAAACACTGCTTAAAGATAAGCAGAAAGAAACATGCCTAAAGGCCTTTGAAGCTGCTTTCGGTGTTCAATTTCTAGTATGGGCTTTGTTGCATTTTATTTATCTTTGCCCAAGCCCTTTGTAATGTCTTGCTGCTTTTGGAGTGTTTGCAGTCCAGTTTGGTTTTGACTTTACCTTCTGATCGTTGTACCAGAACCTGAATCATTTCTACAAATCAGTACTCCACTGATTGTTACTCCACTCCACTGCTTGAACCACTCATTCTCTTGTGGAAGCGTGCTTGAATCCGTGTGCATACACTACCTTGCGGTATTCCAGCCTTGTGTTTGAGAGTTAACCTTTGATGTGGTACAGTTATGCTGAAAGTTATTTTTTGAAGTTTAATTTGTAGCTGTTGCCGAATGAAAGTGTGACTTTCAGTGACAGCTGTGTTATTTTCCAGGAGACCAATCGTCCTGACTTGGTAACATGGGATGCCAACAATACTGCCCAGCTGGGGAAAATCCTCAAAGCGAAAGCAGAGATTGTGGTACTCCAGGATGGTCAGGGGGTGATTGAGGTACGCGCCTATTCATTTTACAGGCCTGTACCCCTTGTTAACCATGTCAACAAGCACAAGTGACTGGAGTCTTTCTTTAAATTTCTCATAATTTTATGGTTTATCTTAAATGTCAAGTAACATTTTCAATGTCATTTCTTTCTCACTTCTTTTCCCATTGTGTAGCGGTCAAAGAAGAAAATATTGGAAACGCAACAAAAAGAGAAGCCTAGCTTTTTCAAAAAAAGTATGTTTGTTTTTGTGTCTTTTTCCTTAATTATCAAGGTCTTTGGGCACTCGGTGGTAGACTGTAGCTTCTATAGCTCACTGATCCTTTGCTGAAAATATATTTGTATTTTTATACTAAGTACAGTTTGAATAACTATCTATGTCCATGAGGAATTAACATTATCATTCCATGAGGAATTATCGTTATCCTAAAGAAAATTAGCACTGAAAGTGTAAATGTTAAGACATGATATTTTGTGCTGCAAGTGTTGTAATACATGATGTTAAACTGTTATGAACCGCACAGAACAGCTTTAGAGACCCTAAAGATTTAATTTTCCTGTCAATCTGTAGCTCTTCAGAGTCTTGTAGGTAAGGAAGACCAAAGTAGACTGCCTCGTGGGAGTGACCGTGATGGAGCATCTTGTGATGGGGATCCCGATAGGCAGTACAGACCTGACTGGGGTAGGTTCTCTCCTGAAGACATGCGCAGAAGAGTGGATTGGAAGGAAGACATTGGTTCACTGTCACGTATGGATGAACGTGGTGGTCCGTATGGTGCAAAAGACCTTGACAGACGTGAGTATAACCAGAGAAGATACCGTGAGGATATTGGTGAAATACCCTTTGAGGATGATCATCTAGAAGCTTATCATGGTGAACACCTCAGAAGACCATACCGTGAAGATGACCGCAGAGGTCCATACTATGACAAAGACAGACATGGACCGTATGGCCATGAAGACCTTGGTAGGGGTTTCCAAGGAAATGGAGAGAGACGGTATCCTGAGAATGATTTTGACAGAAGGCATTCTGGAGATGTGGATAGGAGATATTCTAGGGATTCTGCCCCAGCGTATCCTGAAGACCATCACTACAGGAGGTATCCTGATGAGGGTGGCAAGAAGTATTTTGACAGCGAGTCTTCAAGAAGGTTGGACAAGGTGGAACTGATCAGTGATTATTCTGAACACGGTCGAAGTCCAGCCTATAGCAGAGCTGCCCTGGGTAAAAGACATCGGGATGATTTCCCAGCAGCCCCAGAGTTCGGTGCAGAAAGGAGCCACTTGGGTGGACGAGGACGGGAAGATCACTTGGAACGAAGGCACACTCCCGAAGGACGCTCAAGAAGACCTCCTGAATACAGCCCGGAAAGAAGAAGAATTCCTGAAAGTACTTCTGCTAGGCGAGTTATGGAACGGGACAATTTTAATGGGCTGCCTGAAGTCTTTAAACGCTACCTTTCGGAGAAGCCAGGTACCCATGAAATGAGAGCAGAAAGTGGAGGGTACAGAGAAGTCGTCCCTGAAGATGGTCACAGAGGCAGTTTCCGTGGTGATTCAGCCACTGGAGGCTTCCTGGCTAAAGGTCAAAGTGAAAGGTACGCAGGTGAAGTGCAGATTGTGGCACGTTCAGAGTTTAACATATTCCATTCTGACAGTTTAAAACGTGCTGAAACTCTTCAGGCAGATTTTAATATGCTTATCAGGGGTGCACTGCTTTCACAATCCATATTTTTGTCACTGAATTATTATTTTTCATTTAAAAAGAATAAAAGTAAATGTGCAGATTCAATAATGATTGAAGGGGAAGAAAAAACATCAATTTGAGAACCCCCCCCAAGAGTCATGTGCTGTCAGTCACTGCTGGCACCCAGGCTGGTTATAAGTGGATTTGTGTTCCTGGAAGAACAGGGGCAAGTTTGTTGTTGCTGCTTAGAAGAAACCCTTTGCATGCAGATGTTGCTTTTTCTCACATGTTTACAGATTGCAGTGTTAACTTCCTTTGTTTCTACCTAGTAAATTCTATTGTTATCTCTGTAGGAACATGGAAGAGTTTTCCCATAAAAGGCCAAGACTGGATCCCCTGGCACACAAGCAGGTATTTATCATATTTCGTTATGTTAAGAAACTTAACCGTAGCCTTTCTAAAACCCTGGTTATGCAATGTATAATGCTTCACACACTACAAGATGAGACAGTTTTATATGGCCTGTTCAATGCAATAGACCTGCAGTAGATTGTAGAGGTTAAGGTGTCTTTGCTCAGGGGCTCCAGGATAACTTATGCAGTATATGTGTTCATAGAGCCCTGAGGTTCAGGCGGTGCTAATTGGGAGATTGAGCTATTCCTTTAGCCTGTGACCAGGGCTTGTTATGTGGCCAAGCACCACCAGAGTTGTGTGAGCTTAAAATGGCCAGGATATCCTCTGCTTACTATGTATTCGCAAACCCCTGAAGTCTGCGGGGCACCTGTGAGCTCACTGTGCTGTCAGTGAGAAATACAGGCCTCTGCCAATCAATGCTTGAGGCAGTTTAAGAACCTCCAGGACCTGCAGTGATTGGTTAACCAGTAGGTACTTCAAGAAGAGAGCCTACACCCTCCGCCTCTTCTCTGTGTTTCAGAGATCTTAGCTTATAGGCCAAGATGATAAAAAAATGGGATGTTGTAATATAAAAAAAAGAATTGCTGATACAAAAATAAGATAGTAGTGTGTTCAGATCTATAATAGGGAAAAATGGTCAGCAAGGTGATGTATGGACCAGCATTAACAAGATTTCTACAGCAGTGGTGCTAGGTCTACGTTTCCAAATATTCCATTTCATGGGCAGCTTTAGCAAATATTTCACTGAATACAGCAAAGAGCTTGGCTTTGAAAAGTTGGTGAGCCAGCAGTTTTGGAACAAAAGACTGTTTTCAGAATAATAGACCACTTTGTGTATTATTTTATTTGATGTAATTTCTTTTTTTACCCAGGGAACGTTAGCAAGTTACCACGAAACTCAAAATCAAACTACAGTAAATCCTAATGCAGTTAAAGGAGATGTTTTGGAGGCCCTGGTAAGTATAATTTAGTATAAGCAGATTTCCTAACTGACCTAATTTGCCTTTCTACAGTGACAGACTGAGTATATCTACTTGCTTATTAAACAGAAAATGTCAAATGTTTCCTGCTGTGAGAGTAATGGCAGAGGTCATAATCCTGGTTATTTGGACAATTGTCGCATTTGTATCTGACATCAAATGAGCTGGTACCTTTTTACATTCAGTGTTTTTGGAAACATACAGGGAAGGACAGCTCTCCTAGAGTTAGATAAGGTGAATGTGCTTCGGAAAAACAGTTGAAAAACACAATCAGCAGTAAAATATTTTGTTTTTACAGTATTTTTGAACTGTATGTCTCATTTACTGGAAAAGGCCCAGTTTATCAGGGAGACATTTGTCTTCTAGAGATGCTATTGATTTGAGCTTCCACACTACCGCACTGTCCCCAGTTCCTCACTGTAAGGTACAGTGTATGTCATAACTCTCGGACAGTGAATATTATTTAGTAAAACTGAGCTACTTAAATGACAATCTTGACAAACGGAAAAGCCTTTTAAAAAAGATCAGACTCCATACATTCCCTTAAAAAAACATGTGTCTTGAAGTTGACCTAAGAATTTTTATCCTTTCAGAAAAGCATTGAAATAGAAAGTATTGAAGATGCCACTTTTTTCAAAGATAAAGTCTGTGATCTTCTGAAGGAATTTCAAGCAAATAAGGCTACAGGAGTGACAGTAAGTTCCACTGACTAATTAAAATAATTTCAAGTGTGAGGAATGGGGTTGAAATCGAATCTCAGCGCAAATAGGAGATTTGTACATTTGTAATTTGTTTCTTTTTCTTTTGTTTGTTGTTGAAGTCGCCGGTGATTTCGAAAGATTACAACCACATGAGTATGGACACAGGTGTACATGAACGTGACCGATATGGAGGTAAAGAGCTTTCCTTCCTGCTCAGGACAGCAAAGACGGGACAGGGGTTTTAAAGCGACCATAGGCACTAACTGATTTGATCTTACCCCTTGTCATTTTATGTGCTCTCAAGTGCTCAAAACTTGAGGAAAATGTAATATGCCTTGCAGTTCAATACAACACCTTCAGAAAAGATTTTCTTATGGTGCTTTTCTTATAAGAGCCATGTGCACAACAGTAATGACTTCTTATTACTGGGGTAGAGAAATAACTGAGCAAACTGGAAACGTAACTTCACTTCATTCAAATGTCCAGGATGTTTAAGAAGAAGTTCAAGTTCTTGAACTGTTTGTAGTTGCAAACAAATGCTTGCAGCCTCTTTCTGAGGACAGGGAAGGTAGACAAAAGGCAGATGATCAGACTGTGCCGAAGCCAGTCAGAGGGGCATGCTGGGAAGATCAGTCTCGGCAGATCTTAGCGTCTCCTATGGGGACAGGGGCCAGTGTGCACATGCCTTACGGAGCCAGAGCTCAGAAGTCCTTTTTCTCACTCATCCTGCAGGCCATCCGGACTTTGAGCCCGTAGAAGCACCCCGTGGGTCCGGCGTGCCATTGTACCGTCGGTCTGTTTCGGCGGAGCGCAAATCTTCTGACCGGTGGTCGTACCCAGAGAGACTGCGGTACGCGCAGAAGGACCCGCAGCACCTCGGCAGAAGGCCGCCCGCTGAGAGGACATTTTACCCACCGCGGCCTGCGCACACCGGCGAGTCCCTCAGAGGGGCACGGGGCTCCTGGGCGGAGGGCCGAAAGCCTGGCGAAATGCCCCAAGGGAAGCAGTCGTCTTTAGAGAAAATTACATCGACGCTTTTAGAGCTCGTTTCACGAGGAACTAAAATTTAAACCACCCTTTCAAGAGAAACTGTGAGCTGTCTTTGTTGTCCGAGCGACGTGAAGAAATTAGAAGCTTTAGGTTAGTGCTTTGTGCAATCGGGTCTTTTGAATCTAAGGGTTTCTCAGTCCCCTGTGGTAAAGTGAGGTATTCTGTTAATCCCTGAAATGTGTTTTTTGTCAGATTTATTTTCAGTTTGGAATTGCCAAGTGTGTGTATATCTCAGCTTCTGCACTGATCTCTGTCCCCACATGGGATGTAAAGACTCCTCCATCCACTTCAGCCTGCTGAGTCGCCCCTTATTTCATGAGCGGATGGGAGAGAAGGTGCTCCACTAACTGGGGCCCCTGTGAGCCTGCTGTTGCCTGGGAAGTCATTTCTCTGTGGACTGAGAAATCCTTGTCTGAATAATCCGAAGCCTGAGCCGTTTGTGTGGCACCAGTCGGAGGAGCGTGCTCACAGTGGGCTAGTGACATCACCCAGCCTGTGACCTGCAGTTTAAAGTGTATTAAAAGCTCCTTTCGATTATATTTCTGCAGTTTCAGATTTTGTAACACCATGAGTTTGTGCTAGTATAAATTGTATACACACCACTTGTCATAATGGTACAGCTAAAATAGGGCTGTAAATATATATATTTACAAACCTCACCCTTGTAGTTGTTTTTTAAATCTTTTTTTTATTTTTCAAATTAGCTGAATGAACAAGGGTCTCAATAACCAGAACATACTTTAGAATGGAAAGGAACAAGTAAAGGTTTATTCCATGTTGAAAAGAAAAGAGACATCGTGTTTTGGCTGTGGAGCCTTCGCAGAGAATTAAGACGGCTCCACAGCCGAAACATTTTTCTTTTTGGTATGGAATAAATCTTTACTTGTTCATTTGCAGCCTAGGCATGCTGACGCAGCCACCTAATACTCAACCATTGAATGGAAGGAGGTGAAGGAGGTAAAAGACGTCTTGGGACATTTGCATCGCGCTGCATCAGTGAATTGCAAGCTCTTTGAATGATAATTTTTCTTATTAAATTGCAACAATGGTCTGTGATTAAATTCATCATTATAGAAGGAAACCCGTCCGAAGAGTTCCAAAAACGAAAGTTAAAAAAAGTGTTTGGAATTCATTTTTTTATCTTTTACAAGAAAAAAATGTCCAAAAGTAAAACAAAAAAACTGACCAAACGGTTTTCTGATATACTTCTTCTTGAGTGGCCCCCATACATTCATGTGCTTTTTACTTTGTTTTTTTGTTTTCTTACGTTAGAGTTTGTGAACTCCAGTGCAATGATTAAGTTAAGCTAATGATTTGTGCCATATTTTTTTTTGAGTTTTTTCGGTTGTAAATGCTACATTCCATTAGTTTCTGTTTTGCCTTTTTTAGGATTAAAATCACTTTGCTTTTGAGAAGTCTTTCTATGCCCAGTTAACTGCTATCTTGTCGTCTGATTTTATTTATAAATTCAGTGATAAGTGTTTTAAATTGTTTTTTAAAATTTTGAGAGAACTGAGTTCAGTCAGATGGATTCCTGTGCTTAAAAATGAGCAGAAATTGTAGAAGAATTGTTCCATGGACAGCCCTAAATTGCAGTTGTTACTTGCTCTCTACACTGGCGCTGCCTTCTCCTCCGCGATGGTGTGACGCTTGGGCCACTGGTTGACAAGATGCCGTGTTGAAACGTCCTGGTAGTCAAAGTAGTTGATATTGAGCTTTGAGGCCATTCTTCTCCCTAGTATCTCCAACAGCTGAGAAGACCAAGAAGATTAGTTCCCATAAGGACACTATTGCCCAAGTGGGCTTCTAGCTTGTTTACTTCTGAGACCTGCTGGACTGCTCAACCAAGCCTGGCTGTGAATATAGCACTGATCTATTGAGCTATCAGTACTCAAATTTCTCATTTGCCTTCTGAGCTAATTATCAAACTAGGTCCACTTATGTCTGCCTTTCAAATTTCAGGTGCATGTGACTGGGGAAATGCATCAACGCAGCAGGTATACGTCTAAGCCAGCATTATGATGGTGAAACGGAACATAATTCATTTGAAACCCCTTAAAAGAGGGGTTTCTTTTCCAAATGATATGAGACTGTAAAAGGATACTGATCCATCCATCCATTTTCTGAACGCTTCTTCTAATTCAGAGTCACAGGGGAGCTGGAGAGTATCCCAGCAAGCATAAAGCACACAGCAGGGCAGCACAGGAATGTTCTGGCTATTTCAAAGACTATGATTCACTGCTATTTTGTAAAGCAACATAGGCAGTAGGAAGTACAATATTCTGTAACCTTGTTTAAATATTCTAAAATGTACAGAAAAGCAGCACTGTTTTGAACATTGACAATTACCTCATATTTTTCACAAAATCCACTCAGCTGTTGTTCTTCTAGTTTGTAGCCGTGTAGGATGAGTTTGTACAGGAGACGACCTTGGCCTTGAAATGAAAAAACGGACATGGTTGTGTAGACGTGTTGGCTGATGCATGTAAAAATCAATTTTGCCTGTGCAGGTTCTGTACTGGATGGGCACAGGACATGCTGGCTACTATGTAACTGGAGCAAGGAACAGATTGTGGCATTGTTTAAAACTAGAAAAAAAATGACAGAGTACCAGTGTGCTGGAAGAGGCAGACTTCACAGACAGCTGGACCACTGTCACCTTGTTAAGATGGGGAGGGTTAATTTTTTTAGAGGAGACAGACATTTGAGGGTATGCCCCATCCCCACCCTGCATATCCCTTCATTGCTGGCTGTTATAAAAGTTGTCAAAAGTCGCTTTTTGTGTGAGTTGGTTACATGTAGATAAATTCACTGATGCATGAGACTGGGTCTTTAAGAACAGTCCACAGACTGGCTCGCTGCCCTTCACACTTGAGCTCCTCATTACATGAACTACATTCCTTCATTCAACCCATCTTTTCGTCTCGCAGTCTGGAAGGGTTTGAAGTGGACCGAGCCGTGTCCACAGCCGGGGTGCTGACCACTTTTCTGCGCCCTCATGCGGATGTAGATCTGGTGCAGAGGGCCCTGGTGCCGGAGGCGCCCGTGGATGTAGAACCTGTAGGCGCCCGCGGTGTGGTCGACCACCAGCTTCCTCCGGAAGGAGCTGGAGGCAATGAGCCACAGTGCCAGGCACAGGCAGAACACCAGGTAGCCAGCGTACTGGTGAAAGTCCTGCAACAGACATTTTCCCATGTAACTCTTGAGCTATACAGTGGAGGGATTTTTAATATCCCAAAGCATAGGTTTTTTTCCCATCTTTGTGATTTTTATTTTAAAATTTCCAAGTAACAAAGCAACATTCAACCAAGGGACTGAAATCACATCAGACAGCTGCTCTTGAAGTACCATACAGTAAGGATTGGATCAGAAATGCAGTCCTCCCCCCCTTCCCCAGCCCCATGGATCCAGGCATGTGAATAGCCCAGTGGAACCAGAGGAAGGGGGCAGAGGACTCCAGCTGGTCAGTCTAGCCAGCCAGATCATTCCCTGCTGCTGAAAATCAATACCAAAGCATATGCTTGAGTAGAATAGTTGGAGAAGAAGAGAAACACGTTTTTAACACTTGACCACATCAAGACACTTTTGATGTGCACAAAAAAATAAAAAGAGGAAGTATTTTAGCACTGAAATCCAACACATGCCTCTTTGTCTTCATTAGGGTGTTTGGATAGAAATGAGGGAACCATGCCTCATGATTATGAAGGTTTTCCCAATTCTCTACAAGCTTTCATCTAGTGAATACTGTTAAATTTGCTTACCACAGGGGCAGTTAAAGAAGAGTAATTTTTTAATTCCAGTATTTGTCCAGCTGTCTCCAGTGCAGTTGAATAGCAGTAATGAAGACGTGAACCCATTAACCTTACACCCCGATAGAGCATGGAAATCAGTAAAAATAGTCAGCAGACGGGATGAAGGACAGACACTTTCCACATATAACAAGATATCAGCACCGAGCGCTGCACAATGTTAAGGATTGTTAAAAGATAATTCTAGATTGATTGGCAGCTTGAAAAAGCTCCGAAAGTGAAAGTAGGCATCCCCCGTCGCGGGTCCCTACAAGCCTCAAGCTACCAATATCGCCGTGTTCTTTTACAACCATACACCTGTGTGCGAGTTTTCATGTTGTGCAATGGCGTTTGTCCCCTTCTTATACAGACGTCCTCGTTCAAGCTTGAAGTGGGCCGACGCTATGGGCTTCACAGGTCTAGCTAAAACCTCTCACCAGCGTTAACCACTCAACAGAAGCCCATCTAGCACGTGCCAGGTCACCGCGCAGGAGCGGCCTTCGTAGGGATCCTCACCTTGACGTCTCGGCTGAGGTAGAGCGCGTTGCCGACGACGGAGGCGACCAGCAGCAGCACGCCCTTCCACAGGTCCTCGTGCAGGTACTCCATCACCAGTACTGCCGGGAGAGGCCAAGACACAGAGGAAATGAGCAGGAAACTGAAAGGGCGCCGAGGGAAAGAAAAAAGGGAGCAGAGACCACTCTTACCGTTGTGCCTCTTCAGAACGAAAGGGTGATAGGAGTTCTTTTTCAGCTTGCTATTGAGAGCTTGCTCCGCTTTGAAGATTTTGTAATCCCACGTGCTGAAAATGCCTGTTGGCATGGTGGCATCTAAAATAGGATAAATACTGCAAGTTGGATCTTTACTACACACAAGGCAGAGCCACAACATAATCTCATATAGCAATTATATATAATAGTACACGTTCAAAAAAGGAGTAGAATACTTGCAATTAAATTCAATTGAAGTCCTCAGCTCTTCCTTGATTTTACATCACTGATGGCTCTGCATCCATAATTGTCATCATCAAATATTATAGGAACCTGGAGCAAAGTGAATTATGCAGAATATTGTGAACCAAAAAGAAACAGAACATTTTAATTCAAGATACTCTGAAGACTTGGATTCTTTGTGTTCATAAAATAATCTTTACAAACCAATTTGCCATTCAGAGAAGAAATACCTGTTTTTTCCCTGCTTTCAGGTCACATGCACCTTGTAAACGGAATTCTAACATTCAGATTGTCATAGTAACCATGTTCCAAGTAACATGTCTGATTGTCATAGTAACCACATTGACAAACATTGAATACAGAAATAACTATTAGATAGCTTATGTACCTATACATTTGTCAAAATTACACAATCACAGATTTTTTTTTTTAGGTCAGACTCATTGGTCACCTCCAGGCATTAAACAAGAACATACTATGAAGGTAATATCCCTATTTGCATTTGTACATCCTTGGGGATACATAAATACATTTAACACTGGAAACAATTTGGCCAAGGGAACCATGATCAAATTTGTAATGGTTGTTTTTAAGACCCTGTTTAAGCCTTTCAATTTTTAAAAATATTTAAACCACATTTGATGCAGCAGTGCAATTTGAAACTGCAGAATAAATAAGCAATAGTAGCTTCCTGGAGGACACAATCATTTTAACAAGCACTGTTTTATCACAAAGACCCATTGTTTCCATTTGTTCCTCCCAGACACTTTTATAGCTCAACATTTTAAATCATTTCCAATTAACAGCGTGATAAATGAAGGTATATGACTAAGTCTTGTCCTATAGATTATTTGATCTTTAAAAGGCTTCAGCAATTTTATTGGCAAATGGGTAACAACCATAGAAGCAGAGCCAAATTAAAGCAGTTTGTTCTCCATTTGGAATTTTATTTCCAAGTTCTTGGATTCCATATTTCTGCTGCTCCCTTGTCAGTGAACAAGAGCCTCTCACAGTAGTGCTGTTGGTAAACCACAGACCTGATGGAAGAGAAATATTGCAAGCATGTTGTCAACAGTAAGCATCCTTATTGATTCATGACACCACACACAAATTCACTTTGGCCTCTATAAATACTGCCATCCCAAAAAGAGCACAATGACCCCCCCCCAAGCAATTCTTGTTCCAGTGTGGAACCAGCTCACAAGATGCTGAGAGCACAAGAGAGTTTAAAAGGCACAAAGATGTCGAGTATGGAATTGTCTCTTACACAAACTGAAAATGAACTTACTCCTCCCCAGCATGGTGTATTCAATCCTCCTGGACTTGATGAAAAGAAAGAAATTTTAACCAAGTACATCAAGCACTTCCGCTCCTTAACGGACACAGTGTCTTACTAAACAAGAACATTCATTAAAAAAAGGTCTTATGTCAGAAAACATGCACTCTGTCACAACTGACCCACTGAGCAAACAGAAAGATGAACCCTATGCGGTACCTTAGGGGGTCTAGAGATGAGGGAAAAGATTCAGAGGGTAGGAGGGCAAGGCGAGAGGCGAGGTCCGAGTCGAGTTCCGAGGTTTGTAAGGTGAAGGTCGACAAGAAAGCTTCCAATCCAAAAAGAGCAAGACAGTAGACATGGTCAAAGGAAAATTACAAGGAGAAAGTAGGGGGGGGGCGGGTTGATTGATGGAGTGTCGTGGTTGGCTGATTGGCAGGAGCAGTGTCGTTCAGCAGAAGTGCTCAGGGCTGGAGTGTGATTAACCTGAGTGCGCTTCCGTGTGGGAATGTGGTGGGATGCAGGCGTGACACACTCTCACTAAAGTGGTTTCACCCAGGATTATAATGAGTGCATGTCTGAAGTGGTATAAAGTAATTGTCTTTCAAAGCATGAAGTAAATAAAAAGACATTTTTATTAAAATAAGAAAGCCCACCAAAAATGCATTTATAAAAACACGGTAGCAAGTGTGCTGCCTGATTTACAGCTAATATATACAGAATTTATTTAAAAGGAGCACGCAGTCCAGGTGGGCAGTCTCTACAGTCTGTAATCTCTACTGCCAGTTCCGATTCCGTCTTCAGTTCTCCTCAGACATCTGGTTCTTCAGTGTCCACAGAAACGCGCAGTCTCATGCCCACTGGAATATGATCAGTCAGCCCGGCGAACTGGGTGACAAAGGTGATTTTCTCAACTTCCTATCAAAAGAAACAAATTCTTAAAATGCAAACATACTCCACATTCTTACTTAACCACTTTTTTTCCCTATATTTTAATTTACTACTGGCAGATTTTTCTCGAAACCCATAATGTTTTTTTACATATAATTAGAATTAAACTTTGTTGAAGAATAAGCTCATAAATTAAATGAGACACTATCTTGCTGTTTCTGGTTTAGCCAAAGATTTATTTTTCTCTTTAGCAAAAGGAGATTGTCTCTGCCTTTTACAGCCTGAGACTCCTACCCTCAGATCAGCTCCTAGCAAGCAAACGAGCCAGGTGTGCCGACTGACCGCAGAAACATTGGCACACCGCGTTTGGAAAATAAAACCATTTAATCTCATATTAATCTAACATCAATCTAAATATTAACCTAATTTCAAAGGTGGTGGAACACTGATTCATGCCAGTGAGGAGCAGCAAGGACACTAAGCGGGTGCACCCTGTCAAGACAGAGGCGACAATACTGCCGTCTGCAGCTGCAGAAAGATTTCATGACGAAGGGGTAAGTCAGAACACTGCTAGTTTTACGCGAAGCTGGCTGTCGAACACAGGGCGGGACGTACGGTCCGCAAGTGCCTGGAGACAGTGGCCTCTCTGTACAGGACGTAGTCAATGCGCCTGCCCACCCAGGGGGCCCCCGGCTCCGGGTATTCCAGCACACAGCCTTTCGGGGCTACTGGCGGGGCGATGAACCTCTTCCGGACCTCCTCGCTCTCCACAGACCTGACGGATCCGCCCAGCGCCGAGAGAAAGAAAAAGGTTCTTTAAAAAAGTTCTTTAAAGTCATTATGCCATCTCTGAAAGCCACAGCGCCAACATCTCAAAAGCTCAAAGGTAGCCATGCACGAAAGCGCCTTAAAATGCGTTTAACTGTACTGCAGTTAACGATAAGCAGCTGTAGTAAGTGCAGCTGTAAGGCTGATGTCCTTCAGGTCATTGTTCAGCTCCTATTTCAACAATCTGCAGAGGGCGAGCCAGCTCCCTGATCCTTCAACGTTTTCAGTGAGGGGTTAAAATTGAAGCTACTGTTAGCTACTTCTGTTGAGATGCACAAAGGAAATATTCTTGCTCCTGCAAATATTTTTATAGACCAACACTGACAAGAATAAATTGTATAAAAATCATTTACTCATTTTGTCTTTCAATTCCAGAAACGTAGAAGAATACCTGGGAAACAGAAAAAGGATCCTATCCCATAGCTGTCTGATCCACCCGAGTGTTCTAGCAGCTGCACATGTGAACTGTACATTCATTAATGCTGGCTGATTGCGGTTTTCATTTTTGAAGGTAACTTTGCACAGATGTGTGTGAATTTACTGTATCTTTTGCCAGTACAACACGGACTTAACTTCTGAAAAGAATGAAAGCAGAATGCAATGCGAGTCCTTTTTTGTTTTTTACAGTTTTCAATCCACATCTCTACTTACATCTTCATCCTTTTTGGAGTCGACACCGCGTCATCATACAGTGTGGGCTGTTCAAGGAGAGTACCTGTCAAAACATTCATGCAGGCATAATTACTATTGCTCCAGTAGCCAGACAACACAGTTTATTTAAGGTGCATTTTGTTTTGATGAGCATTCTATTGTTTTAAAAACATAAGTACTTGTTACAGTATTTTAAAGACACAAAGCAATAAATGCAATGGATCCTTTAATGATTCCCTCATCCATTTCTTCACCCTTAATATTTCAAAATAATATATTTTAGCTTTCATTATCCATTATAAGCCATTATCCCATTCATATTAAAGAGGTCCACAGGGCAGGAAAATGGGTGAATGTGTTTCACCCATTTTCCCTCAAACACCATTTATAATTCATTGCAGGAGATACAGTAGCAGGTACAGTAATCAAAGAGTGATGGGAGTATAGAATACACAATTCTTTACACAAAGTGTAGTGGGAGTGTGGAACAAGCTGCCCAACATGTTGTTGAAGTCGATACCCTGACTTCCTTCAAGAAATGGCTGGATGAGATCCTTGTATTAATTAGCTATTAACACTCAAATAGGCTGGAGGGTCATTGTTATGTTCTTAAATCTGCTGAAGAGCCACTGACCTATGACCCAGGGTTTCTCTTTCCCAGGACCAGCTCGGCATGGGTCTTTATAGCTGTCAAACAGGCTGTGCTTCTGCTCCAGTGCGTCGACTGAGATAAAAAAGAGGACTGTTACTATCACATTCATTAGTATCTGTTTGTCACTTAAACTTGACATGTTTCAGATAGTTTTCAGAAGGGTGCAGTATTGCTTAAGGCCAGAACTGACCAGGGTTCCCAGATCCTGGTCCTTGAAGCTTGGAGTCTAAAGCACCTACAGACACAATAAAAGACGTAATGTTTAATGTACTTAGAAGCAAAGTGGAACAGAAAGCAGGGAACTCTAAACCTATTGCAAGAGAGCTCCAATCCAGCTGGTTTTACCAATGTATTTGTGCTCTAAAGGTTGGCATCACCTGGTAGATATTGAGGAATCCAGCAAGTGATTTGTTCAATTAAGACAGCTCTGGTCATCTTGAGGACTTGAAGAGTATTTAGAGTGGGATCCTGTATTTAACAACTCCCCCTGATTACTGGATCACAGTAAAATCATTCCACCTCTTTAGGAATTGGCAATTTAGTGGTGCATACTAAACCTGCTGGACTGGAGCTCGAGTAGAAGTGAGAAACCATTAAAAGCAATGAATGTTACACTAGTGCCAGCAGAGGGCAGTGTTGTGCTTCAGTCTTCACCTCAGCCAGCACAGACAGTGGAAAGGTACAAGGCAATCAGTGGTTGAGATAGATCCAAGACATTCAGCTTTATCATGATGTGCTTGGCACCACGCAGAGTGTGGAGGCCCCTTACTCCTCATGCCAGGTGCATCAGCAAATAATAATAATTCCTTACACATTATATAGCGCTTTTCTGGACACTCCACTCAAAGAGCTTTACAGGTAATGGGGACTCCCCTCCACCACCACCAATGTGCAGCCCCCCTGGATGCAATGACAGTCGGAGTGTGCCAATACACTCACCACACATCAGCTATCAGTGGGGAGGAGAACAGTTACTGAAGCTAATTCAGAGATGGGGATTATTAGGAGGCCATGATCAGTAAAGGCCAATGGGAAATTTGGCCAGGACGCTGGGGTTACACCCCTACTCTTTTTGAGAAACACCCTGGGATTTTTAATGACCACAGAGAGTCAGGACCTCGGTTTTACGTCTCATCCGAAGTGAAATGATGCTTCAGAGCCATGTCCTAGCCAGAACTCACGAGGGGAGCAGTTGTCAAAGTTGAAGTCCCCACACAAGACATCAAACACCACAATCTCATCCTCCTTCTTCGTCTGGGCCTGGAACTCGCTGATCCACTTGCTAAGCATATCCAGCTGTTCATAGCGGATTGGTCCATCATCTAGATGGGAGAACAGGAGGACCTGGATCAGTGCATTGTACTACACACATGTTCCAAAAGCTGTCCAGCCAAGTTGTTGAAATGATTCCCTAGCTACTTTCAAGAAATGGCTGGATGAGATCCTCACACTACCAAACAGGCTACATAGGCTGAATGCCCACCTCTCATTTGTAACCTTTTCTATTTTCTTATTTGTATGTGTATCAAGTCGCATTAATCCATAATGAGCAGTTTTCATTCTTTTTTTCATTATTTGATTCAGGCTGAAAAGCACTTGTACATTTTGGTAGATTAGACACATTTTGGAAAAATAAATATTTCGCTGCGGAACCTGCTGTCAAGCTTCAAAGCAAAGCATACACAGAACACATCCAAGTTCATACTATGACTTCGTCTTTCAGGCCTCCACCTCTTTTCTCTCATTTTTTTTTTAGGCCAAAGCATGCGTGTTTAAAGCAAGCAACTCATTGAGGTGAGACACCACAAGTCTAGGTTCCCACTTCTGTTTTTTTGCAAGTGTTTTTGCTCACGTATTGCAAGGGCTGCCTGCATCTACAATCCCTCTCCCAGAGGATTAGGGAAGCTCCCTGTCCTTCAACACAACAGGTGAACAAATGATAAAACAGGAGACATCTGCCCACAGATAAATAAATCATGATGTGCACATAACAAATTTAAAAATTTTACTGTGTGTCTCTCATGAGGTATAACAGCTTACCACTACTTTTTTATTTTTCTATAATGTAATTTAACTTCTGTAAATTTCTCAAGCCGCTCATTGACTAATGGGCTCTAGAATACCAACCTAGAACCTGATGGCCACTTTGGATAAAAGCTTCTGATAAGCGGTTTATTATGAATATTTTAAAATAATATTGATATATTAATTATAATAATCACTACCACTACCTTCAGGAGCATGTAAATGTGTGCAGTTAAAAAATCCCACAGCATTCTTCAGTCTTTGAGTCTGGCCAACCAACACCTTTAAAGACAGTATAACAGCACATTAATTCTTAAAGCACATCTGGTTTCGGATCTCTCGATTTTCATTCATCCCACTTAAAAAACTTTAGAGGATCAGTCTTTTAATCTGAGCTCTTTTATTGCATCTATATACTCCATATGAAGAGAATGAGGCCAGAGTTTAGTTATAGCTAAAGTAATGTGCTAAAGCATTTGTTTGTTTCTAAATTATTCAAAACTGGGATTCAGGAAGTAATAAGGAGCATGGCCAATTTGGAGTAAGGTAAAACAAGACCCAAGACAAATGATGACATACTGTATTTTTTTAGCACAACTTGGAACTGTCATGTTCCCCATACTACCACTGGTTCTTGATCAGAGGTAAAGACATCACCTTTACGGACAGCACTCCCTTAGATGCCAGACTATCCTCTCCTCTCCCATTGGGGAAGCAGTGGAACGAGGCTTCCAGGATGGGGTAGCGACTTGCGAAAAAGATGCCGCTGTTGAAGAACTTAAAGGAAGAACAGCCCTGGAACCCATAGAGCCCAACGTCATAGAGCACATGGCCAAAGAAAGGGCTCAGGATGTCCTTCAGCCTCCGGGCTGCTCTCCTGTCAAACGCTTCCTCAAGCAGGACAAAGTCTACGTTGACGGGAAAGAGGGCAGAAACTTCCCAGGGGATGTCGTCAAGTCCCTTTGACTTCTGAGAGGTCCTTCCGCCACTGGGACAGCTCTGACTAGAGTCTTCGTGCATGACTAATGAATCTGCAGAAGTGGGATCGGTATCCTCCCTCACATCTATAATGACGTCTTTGGTGTGGACGTTGGTATCCCTCACTGCTGTTCGTTTCTCGGCGTTCAGGGGACTGCTGGGGGGCTGAGATTCTGTGGCGCCATAGGAGGGATGGGTGGGGGTGAGGAGGCAGTGCATGTTTTCCTGCGTGGTGCTGCTAGGCAAATCCGCAGGCCTGGTCACACCTTGAATGATCAGCTGACCAATCAGCCTGGACCTCACTTGTGTCTGGCTGAGGTTGTTAAACCGGGCCAAGCTGTCCGGGAGCAGACAGAGGTTGGCGGTGACGAATCCAAAGCTGCCCCCAGACCTTCCCAACGCCCAGTCCCCATCCACCTGATCCTCGCGGGTGGTGACCCGCTGGCGGTGGTAGGAGAACGGCCTACGGGCCGCCTGCAGGGGGACCCAGAGGACAAATCCCAGCAGGGCGATGGGAGCCGTGATCAGAAAGAGACAGAGGAAGAGGATGGCCCCGAAAAAGACCCGCAAAGGGTTGAGGTAGCACTCCTGCTCATAGCGCAGTCTCTTCTCAAAGGTGGTGGAGATACAGACAGCAATCAGCCTGTCCAGGAACCAAAAGCAAGGGAAAATGAGCCACCAGGCGACGCTGTGTAGGCCTGCAACAAACTGGTTGGAGAAAGGAGACTCTCGCAGAGCCATGCCTGGTTCTAACCACCTAAGGGAGAGCCGATGTTCAGGGGTTAAGTATCCTTACATCCACAGCATCACAAGGAAAGGAGGAAATTCTGTATTAGAAGGAAAACAGAAAAAAAGACATCTTTTAACTCAAAAGATTGTGAGAGTGTGGAACAAGCTATGCTGCAGTTTGGTTGAAGCCCATACCCTAGCTTCTTAATAATGTGTGAATTATTTCTAAAACGTAGGCACTACTTTAATAACACACTTGAAATCCTTGATTTGAGATATGCTGGACACTTCTCATTCTGAGTTTCAGACACAGAGTCTTATTGTTCACTAGTCTTGTCAATAACCACCCCCTTGACAGGTAACATTTTCATTACAGTCTTTCCAATACAATCTGAATACAATCTGAGAAAGAGGACTGTAAGTGAACAGTCTCGCCTCTTCTAGGTAGAAACCTTAAGTGTGAATAAGTGGCAATCATCTGGCAGCTGCTGTTTAATGCAGCCAAGTAAAGAGTGCTAAATGCAGGTAGTAAAAACTAATTGTAAATACAAGTCAGGAAACACTGAGTCCGAAGACGCTACTTACGAAAAACACCTTGATGTTTATGTTACCACTTCATTTACATCATCCAGACAATGTGGAGAAGCAATAAGAAAGGCAAATGGAATGTTTTAAACTATACTTAAATGCACAGAATAAATCAAGGGACAGTTTGTGAAATTCTTCTATGCACTTTTAAGAACTCCTTTACTATATTGTGCATAATCCTGCTCTTCCCATTACTTCTCTGGAATCAGTCCAGAGAACAGCTGTGTGAAGCACATCCTGCTTGAGTTTGCTGTAAGATCCTCTATCTGAGAAAGTAACAGGCAACACAATAGAAATTCACTCAAAACAGCATTGCAAGGCTGCTTAATTCAGAAACAATGACAACAAAATCATCTTCAAAGTGTTCTTTATAATGTCCCCCTGGGATAAAAATATCCACAAATCCAAATAACCTCTAACTTGTTTTACATGAGCAGCCTGTTGTAATACAAGACCGTGCAAGAAAGACGTGTCTTACTGCAAAATATTTAAGCAGAAATAATTTAAGTGCATAAAGTATGGCATGGACCGAGGTGAAATAGTGCGTCACAAGTGACATCATATGAAAACAAGTTAGTCCACCTGAACACGTTAACATTCACAGGAGTTCTATTCGCCGCGTTTTCAACTTGATAAAAAGTCTCTTATTACAACCAACTTCCCGAGTTAATACGTACGGAAATATTCTGTAAGGGTTTCTTCAGTTAAAGAAGAGTTTGTTGGAGTTTGTGTTAGTGTTTAGGTATCTAAAATCCCTCCGGACTGAGATACCTACTGCAGACGTGAGGACTCTCACTCGTTACTCAAGAATAACTAAGGAGGGAAAGGCATTGATACACAAATCACACCGACAACTTTACAATTTAGAAGGTTTTTTTTTAGCACAGACCCTATGTAGACTATAAAACTAACTGGCCTGGCGATGAGTGAAAACGACCCTTGAACCACGTTTTGTTCCAGGTATCGAAGTACAGTCAAGTTACAGGTGTAATAACAGGAAGAAGCCTTCCTCCCCCTTCCTTGTCGTAATATTGTTCCTTACTATTCTCAACTCACCCTGTCAAAATGAGCACTCGTGCAGCAAAACGCACCGGGTCATTCAACATTTGCATTACTGCTCCTGGAGTAAAGACAAATATAAAGTTTAGTATTTTTATAGTACCGTACCTAGGAGTTACGGTAACAGGCTCCTTCCTACCTGAGACACAAATGTGTTAAAACAATATTCGGACTCAGTCCTTGGTGCCTGGTAAAGTTATTATTTTCAGAAACCCTTACTTACTTTCCACTCATTTGAAGACTTCTATGTATATTTTTTTTACCGGATAAGGTTTCCGAACCGCTTCCTTCTTTCAGTTCACCGTCAGTCTTACACGAGAAACTGAAGCGAAAGCGCGTTTTCGCCGGCTCGCTCGTCCCCACCTACCTTGTCCTTCCTCTCCGTGAGAGGGGCGGAGGAGCCGTGTTGTGTGCTTAACACGTATTCATAGACACTTAGCAAATTTGTGCATTTTTTATTTAACCCCTTTCTGTTTATGTCGTTAATTTTTGGACACCTTTTGGAGACCTTAATCTCAACACCCTTACAAACACAACTATACTGTACCTTATAAGGAACCGCTAATGAGTTGATGCACAAATGCGCATCGGCAGATCCATAAGCATTGGCAGAGCAGAATCGCTGTCCGAGGGTGATTATTTTATTTTATTTGGGAAGGAAGGAATGAAACATTCTGCCTTAGAACGTCCTTCGGAAAGTATATAAGATTAAATGTTCTGTTCACATCATAAGGGGTATTAACCTGTAGAAGCCCACAGCCATTTTTTGGTGAGGGGAGTCATATATTTTGTTTCTTTTACTGTTGTCTTTATTTTTAACAGTCTTACAAAAAATATACCCAGACATTTCTCAGATTAATTTGAATTAATAATGGTTTTCACGTTGATGGAAGGACAGCACAGCGGCACAGCGGTTAGCATTGCTGCCTCGCAGAGGTGGGGCCGTGTCCAATTCCGTGTCCAATTTGCGTGGAGATTGTATGATCACCCTGCGGGTGCTCACGTTTCCCCCCACAGTCCAAAAACATACTGGTAGTTTAATTGGCTTCTGAGAAAACTGGACCAGGTGTGAGTGTGTGTGCCCTGCAGTGGACTGGTGTCCCATCCAAGGTGACCCAGCCTTGTGCCTGTTGCTTGCTAAGACAGACTCCAACTCCCCCGTGACCCTGAATTGGAAGAAGCAGTTAGAAAATGGATGGATATGTTCATTGAAGTCACAAGCAAAACCCTGCTGCGCAGAACTGTAGAAACACAAGTGTACACCCTTGACCTGTATAACTGAATAGGGCATCCTTTCAACAAAATATCGAAATTCATTTAAAAAAAAAACATTTTTAAAGGGCTATCCAAACAATCACCTGCCACACAAACCAGAATTAATTCATGCATTACTCAGACACTAAACCAGAATTAAAGCCCATTAATCATATTTAATATAGTATTTCCATTTTAAACTCCCAAACCTATCTTTCTTAATGCCATATGATGAGCAGATGTAAATTTCTTAAGTAAAACCAGACTCTGTCATAAAAACATCCCTGAGATGATAATTGTGATGAAAAAAACTGTAGGGCTTCACTTTTTAAAATTTGCAGCAATGCAGAAATACTAATAAAGGGACAAAATGCTATGAAACTTATGTTACAGGTCTGTTTCTGAAATACTACATCCCTCCATCTCAAGATCCAGTCTAGTTAAAAATTAGCATCAGATCACTGAAGTCAAGGAGTTTTACTGAAGTGTGCTTTTTATTTCGAAAACCAACCTAGCAGCATTTCCCAACTGCAATGTGGATGCTAGGGCTTCAAAGACACAGTGCTCCCACATGTGATCCTGTTTGGCAAACGCTTTTTAGGCTACGCCTTGGTTTTGAGAAAGGGCTTTAACAGCCTGTTACAGCTCTTGCTTGCCAGTGGTGAGTCTGCACAATGCTTGGAATGCAGATCTATTCTGTGGCTGGAAACTGGATCTCCTGTACAGGAGTGACAAACTGCTGAATGAACGAACCAGGACACCAGAAAAAAAATGTTCTGAATTTTGCTAAAGAAATGAAAACATAAAATAAGCTTCAAATACAATTGTAGTGTCTTAACAATTGCAGTAACAGTCAAAATCAATTTACAATAATGAAATCCATTCAGAATTCTTTAAAGACTTCCTGAAACCAAGGTTTTTACAAGATAGAACAATAATGTGAAATGACTTGTTTAAAGGATACCTCAGTAAGATTATTTAATCCTTTACAGATACTTTATTTACCTGTCTAACTTACTATCTTCTCAACCCTGACCTCACAACTCTTGTTCATCTAAATCTGGTTTCCTGTCTGTCCCTCCAGCCTGTTTAAATTCTGTCTACAGCTCTGGAACTCTATCCCTAAGGATATCAGATGGTCACCTTCCTTGAGCACTTTCAAATCAAGACTCAAACCCCTCTTCTTTGAAAGTGCTTTTATTTAGTTGGTTCTGTGTCTGTCCCTTTACATTCCTACTGCATTCCGAACACTTGTTGTAATTTATTTTAATTCTGCCATATCCTCTCCTTGTGTGCTTTTTTGGTAAAGCACTTAGAGAAGCCACTTTTAAGCACTATATAAAATAATTCTTATTCTTATTCTTATTCTTATTCTTATT